AATTGTACTAGTCTAAATATAGCATAATATGTGAGTAAGCTAAGCTGATATACAAGTAATTTCGGAAATGACCACTAAAAAACAATAATTAGGATATTTAAAATATATCCAAACCTATGGTTTGCATTTCACAAAATACCCAACTATATCCAAACCTATGGTTTGCATTTCACAAAATACCCAACTGTACTCTAAGGATATATTGATGCNCCCAACTATATCCAAACCTATGGTTTGCATTTCACAAAATACCCAACTGTACTCTAAGGATATACTGATACTAACTGGATATCTGATACTAAAGATTCAAAATCCACGAGTGGATATGTATTTACATGGGAAGTGTAGCCGTGTCTTGAAAAGTCTCAAAACAAACATGTATTGCTAGATCTACAATAAAATTGAATTCATTGCCTTAGATAAAGTTGGAGAAGAAGTAGAGTGGTTTTGTAACTTTTTAGAGGATATTCCAAATTGACCAATGTCTGTGTCAACAATATGTATACATACGCACCATTGAAGGGCACAAAATTGTACGCATAACGGTAAGTCTCGACAAATATGTCGTAGACATAATACTACTAGTTGGTTGCTCTCGAATGATATTATATCCATTGACTATGTGAAGTTAAACAATAATATTGCGGATCCGCTTACAAAAAGTTTGATTAGGGAGAAAATAGAAAGTTCATCAATGGGAACAGACTTAAAGCCTAATACTTAACCAAGAGTCACTATAATTGCAAATCAACTTAGTTGCCTGGAGATCCCAAAATCTAAGTTCAAATGGACAACCTTATTATGTGTAACTCAAAGCGCACTGAGGAGGTTTTTAACTCCTTCCCACTCCTGTGATGAGACAGTACATATCTGCTACGATATCTAGGGTAAGTTACACTGTTAATGATGTTCTCTGACTTGGAAAGTCTAAGTAGGGTATAACATAATACTCTCAATCAAAAATAACCTATGTGAGTAAGAAGGGGTCACTTCTATGAGAATCGTAGGTTTATTACTCTAAGTTACTCATTAAATCACATGGTGTTCAAGGCCAAAATGAATATAAACGTGGGAGCCAACTGTGTCCGAAGGGAAAAGTGTGAATTCTATTGTCTTGGTTTACACAAATAGTTGACAGTTTAAAAACATTAAGTGCACTGATTAGCCAAGTAAATTCGAGAGTCTTTCACTAAGGAAAGTTCAAGGCCACTAGATTACTTATGCCGATGTAGTTACCTTCAACTTTACTTGAACTAGCATCTGCATTATTATACATTAAATTTTCATTCATGTGGGGCAAGTTCAAATGTGTTCTCCTTTGCAAGTAGATGAACGTGATATATTTATTTGTTTAAAATTATTAAGTATTGAATGAGAAATTGTTAACATTTCAACTATACTTGAACTAGTGTCCGCAATATCATACATTAAATTTTCATTCATGTGGGGGATGGTTGGAAATAATGGTTTTAAAACAAATATTTGAGCAACTTAAGGTTTAAATTAAAGTGAGACCCATAACTCAAAATTAGTGGGACCAAGTTTAAATGAGTTCTCCTTTGCAAGCAGATGAATGTAGTATATTTATTTGTTTAAAGCAATTAAGTATTAAATGAGAAATTGTAAGTATTTTCAAGGGAACTTAGGCAACAAGCACAAATTTATGCATTTTTAAGGTGAGAAGTCTCCTGCAGACACTTTTAAGACGAAAGGCCCATAAAATACATAGTTGACCAAAATACCATTAATGAAGGAGGTTATTTAAAAATTCCAAATCAATCGAAATTTTCCCTAACAGAGGCGTTGATTAAGGCATTGACTTGGGACCGAGCAGACTTGATGACATTGTCCGATTCCCAACCGTAGAGGTGGGTTCAATAGTGGGGGTTGTCAAAGCGAGAGAGGTAGTAAGGAAGCATGGCGTCTAGGACTCTAGGGTCCATAGGGGAGGTTGCTTGCATGTCAAGGTAGAGTGGTTTGTTGGAGATTTTTACGCCTTTCATGGAAACTCCAAGTATGTCCTCCTGGTAGGGTTTTGACATGACGGTGGCGATGGTAGTGGAGAAAGGGTTGAAGTGGTGGGGTTTGTGACCATGCGGCGTAGTGTGGTGGCTACATGCTTGGAGGCCATGGTGATAGATTGGTTTGTGGTTGTAGTGTCAAATAGTGTGGTCTAAGCTTAACAACAAAGAGAGAGAGAGAGAGAGAGAGAGAGAGAGAGAGAGAGAGGATAAACTTGATGAACCATGCAATTTGGGTTATGAGGTTTTGTGCAGAAAAAATGAGTCAGTGGTTTTCACATTCAATGCAAGTCCCTTAACTCATTCACCGCTTGGACTTTTCCCTTTTCTTCTTCTTCCCGAGTTGTCTTATGGCAAAAGATTGATAGTTTACATACACAGATATATGTATAGCTCCAGGGGGGGGAGAAAGAGAGAGAGAATGTGGACAGTGAACTAAAAGACAATAAACTAAACAACTCAATGTGTTTTGTTATATATTGTGGATGAAAACAGAACTGAATTTTTCAGTTTATCGCCGAGTGGTTTACTGTCGAGGGGATGGTGATGGTGGTGGATTTTTATTGAAAAAGAGCTAGATTTACACATGCGAAAGACAATGACTCTTAGTTGGGAAAAGTGAAAGACATAAGAGGTAATATTGTTATATTAAAAAAAGAGAAAAATTAGTTTGGACCCCTCGTCTTAATAGTTCAGCTGAGTTGGACCTCACATCTTAAAAAATACAAGCTTGAATTTGTTTACAAATTAGGTACCAACTTTGTAGTTTTCAACAATTTTTTCTATTTTCAAAATAAAATTTTTTTTGGGAGGCTTTTTTTTGAAAAAACTCTTTATGACTTTTGGAACAAATTGGAAAAATGTGAAGTAAAAATGACATGAAAGACTATTAGTTCAAAATTAATGACTTTTGGTTAAAGAAACTAATCCAAATGGTTACATCATTTCATAAAGTCAACATTAACACCTTTTGGTTAAAAGACACCATTACAAAAAGTCACAATTTTTTTATAAAAGTCACATTTGATATATTTTGGTTAAAAGACACCTTTTAAATGGTAGTATTTTTTTATAAAGTCACAATTGATACCATTTAACCCAAAAGACACTATTACATATGGTTGCATCCTTTATGAAAATCCACTAGCGTGTCTATAAATAGGTAATGTCTTGCACTCCTAAAATATACTATTGAACAATTCTTACTTCTTACTACTCTATCATTCTACTTCTTTCTATTATCCCAATTCTGAATTTCGTATTTAATATTTCTTCTTCTTATTCTCTATCTGTCTTTGCATATTGTTGTATTATTCTTTCTGTTTGGTCCAAGTGCAAAACACAAAATTGTGTTTATTGAAATTTTGAAGATTGAAGTGTTGCATCTTCAAGAACGAAATCCGTTCTATTTTAAAAAACAGTTGCTTATCAACTTTAAGCACCGAGAGAGAGTAAATCTATCTTAAGAAAACTGTAATTACACAGAGCTCAAATTATTATTATTATTTCGGAATTTATATTATTATTACAACTCTGCATCACTGTAAGTGTATTTTAGTGTCTATTTTTAATATTCTGTCTTTTTAATTAAATAGTTTGCATATAACAGTACTTAGTAGATTTAGATTTTGTTACAAATTATATATATCTTGGGTAACAAACTTCAACAACGATTGCATGAAGTGAATAAAGGCAGCATGGTATAGAAGACGATGATGAAATCATTTTTCTTCTTCACATGTCGAATTTGCAGAAGAAAGTTCAAATAAAGGTTGGCAACTTGGGTATAAATTGTAGGGTATTGCTTTGGTGAATTGGAGGAGGAATAGAAGGAACCCAACTGAAATTAATCTATCAAGGCTTCAAAAGAAGCTGTTGCTTGCATTCAAGATGAAAGTATTTCAATTTTGTGGTCATCTCTCTCTCCCTCTCTCCCTCTCCATCGCTTATAGATATGCTTTTAGTTACCTATTTCTTTGCTGGATGATTACTGCTACTCATATTGATTTGGCCAGTTTATAAAAGGATACAACTACAGATAGAAGTTTTGTTTAAGAGCCATTTTGGAGGGAAGTGGATTTTATTTATATATTCTCTCCATATATACATGTCCACACATGTGAGGAAACGAACTGGGGAAGGAGGAGGAAGAAGGGGTAAATTGTCATTTTCTTCTATTTGTTACGGTGTTACATTTTTACTTTGATCCAAAATCTGAAGGGGGTTATGNAGACAATAAACTAAACAACTCAATGTGTTTTGTTATATATTGTGGATGAAAACAGAGCTGAATTTTTCAGTTTATCGTCGAGTGGTTTACTGTCGAAGGGATGGTGGTGGTGGTGGATTTTTATTGAAAAAGAGCTAGATTTACACGTGCGAAAGACAATGACTCTTAGTTGGGAAAAGTGCANAGACAATAAACTAAACAACTCAATGTGTTTTGTTATATATTGTGGATGAAAACAGAACTGAATTTTTCAGTTTATCGCCGAGTGGTTTACTGTCGAGGGGATGGTGATGGTGGTGGATTTTTATTGAAAAAGAGCTAGATTTACACATGCGAAAGACAATGACTCTTAGTTGGGAAAAGTGAANTTTGCTGGATGATTACTGCTACTCATATTGATTTGGCCAGTTTATAAAAGGATACAACTACAGATAGAAGTTTTGTTTAAGAGCCATTTTGGAGGGAAGTGGATTTTATTTATATATTCTCTCCATATATACATATCCACACATGTGAGGAAACGAACTGGGGAAGGAGGAGGAAGAAGGGGTAAATTCTCATTTTCTTCTATTTGTTACGGTGTTACATTTTTACTTTGATCCAAAATCTGAAGGGGGTTACGAGTATAATATGGAACGTTAGAGAGGCAAAACGCAAATCTTCCAAACCACCAGGGGCCAAAAGATAATTAACCCTTTTTCTTTGAACTCACTTATCCCGTCGTCCAAACACCAACTCAGCCAAGTAGACTTAAATCTTAACGTCGACTCCGTCGCTGTTTAGCTTCTACCAGTCATCCTATTTGCCCCCGCGAAGCTAACTTCACATTCCATTCTTAGGTTCTCTCTCTGCTCCCTCTCTCCCTACACGCACACACATTCATCTCTCTGTGCTTATTGATCTGTTCCGATTGAGTATATTCTTTCACTGCTAAAAATTCAGGTAATTTTGTTTGTCTGCATATTCTACGTAATTTCTAGTGCGATCGATGATTGATTTTAATATTTAGGATTAATTTTCTGCATCATTTGTAAATCTACGTCCTCCTGTGAGTTTCTACTTAGAAATTGTGGTTTGTGATTTTTAATTTCATTTCACGTTGATCAAAGCTTTTTGTTCGAAAGTTACCGTTTAATTCTTGTAGTATTATGCAATTGACACTAGTAGAATGAGTTGATGTTCGTAATTTGGTGGTATTTGTGATTTGTGTGTTTTTGGACCTGGTTTCGTGGTCTTTATTGCCACGAAACACACTCCTTAGGGTTTTTATTTCTGTTTTCTTTTGATGATTATGATTGGATGAAACTAATGTGTCATCTACACACGTTTGATTATCTGACATAATCTTTAAAGTTAACTGGCACAAAGAAATCATCTAATTTTAATGCCCATAGTCACACACATACGGAAAGGGACAAACAACCTCCCAGACTTATATATATTTGGCAAGTAAGTTTGATCCTCATTACTTATTTAAACTAATTATGTCAAATTTTTTGGTGGTTTGTAAATCAGCAGAAATTCATACTGGGTTTTGATGATTGGATGCAATTTCTATAATTATTAATATCCAGCATGTTTGTCTGAGGTTTGATTTAATTTTGGTAGGTTATTCTGGCATTAACAGACTGGTGGGTTAGCTTTAAGGGGTTCTTGACTTTATTTTTGTGGTGAAGAGATGAGTCAGAAAGGTTTGATTTATAGCTTTGTTGCGAAAGGAACTGTTGTTTTAGCGGAGCATACACCTTACTCTGGGAACTTCAGTACCATTGCTGTCCAATGCTTACAGAAGCTGCGTTCTAATAGCAGCAAGTACACCTACTCGTGTGATGGGCACACCTTTAACTTCCTCATTGACATCGGATTTGGTATTGATTATTCTTTATTCATGTTGAAAATAATTTTTTGGCAGTGAATATTTCCTTAGCGACTATTTTCATTTTCTTTGGCCATGCAGTTTTTCTTGTTGTTGCGGATGAATCAATGGGGAGGAGTGTACCTTTTGTTTTTCTTGAGAGAGTAAAAGATGACTTTAAACAGCGTTATGGTGCAAGTATTAGGGGTGATGGCCCACACCCCCTTGCTGATGACGAGGACAGTAATGATGAGTTATTTGAAGACCGATTCAGCATCGCATACAATCTTGACAGAGAATTCGGGTTTATATATTGCTTCTTTTCTTTGGCATCTGTTTAATGATTTTGTGTCCAATGTTTGCCATATTATTTTTCCATCTGCGTATAATGTCGTGCTTTGTTTACTAGGCCAAGGCTTAAGGACCACATGGAATATTGTATGAACCATCCAGATGAAATAAGTAAGCTATCCAAACTGAAGGCACAAATTACGGAGGTCAAAGGGATAATGATGGACAATATTGAGAAGGTAAATATTTTTTTCCTATTACAGTTATATAGGTGACAAAATATTATATGTTTAGTTGCTTAAATAATATAAATTGTTGTGTTCAGTCTGTTGATGTTGGAACGAATCAACTGAAGCTGCAAAATCTTAGCATTCAGTTATTTTTGATTGTGGCTGGGCATGGATATTTCCTTTCCCACTTATTTCTCTTTTCCTTTTTGTTTCTGTGATGGGCGGGGTAGTTTTCTTTTGTTACATTGTGTATGTGGTAACTGTTCTTTCTAGTCATAGAAGAAAAGAAATGATATAGGCAGTAATTTACAGTGAATAAGTGGGGACGTTGCATATGAAAGGATATATCATACTGCCAATATGCAATGTAGGTATGAGTAGTTGTTTATCCTCACAAAAATTTCAGAACTTTGTCTAGACAGAGTTTTTTAATTTTGAAGACAATCTGGANTGAGTAGTTGTTTATCCTCACAAAAATTTCAGAACTTTGTCTAGACAGAGTTTTTTCATTTTGAAGACAATCTAAACAGAGTTTAAATATTGAAATAGAAGAAAATGCAAATTTCTCATTTAAATGTTGATTGTGGTGATTATTTGACAAATTTGTGGCGTGCATATATAATATCCAGGGTTGGTGTATGGCATTCTTCAATGTATTGGTTAACAGAACATCAGCTTTATTCTTGTTAGCAGGGCCTAAATGCTCCGTTGTTGTCATATTACCTCTTTGCCATTATATCATGTGTTTGCTTTACGTTTATGCATGGAGTCCTACATGCTATAGCCTCTTATCTTTACCTTTAAATTTACCATTAGGTTGATGACTCTGCCTCTAATTATGTGAAAATTGTTTTCACCCACTCTGGTAGTATCCATGTCATATAGAATAGGAAAGATCAGTGGCTTTAGATGCTGGGATTGCTTGTCTTTGAGCATATGGGGCATGATTTTGTTCGCAGTAGATTGCCTTCGATTCTTTGGTCATATAAGGTATTGTTAGCAGCTTGAGTATCCATTTTTCATCTGGTGTGGAATCCCAGGATATTTAAAATTCCAATTGTGATTCTCTCAAGACCAAGGCATCATTTTTGTCCTTTGTCGCAATGGAAAGGCAAAAAATGGCCATTGTGTTTTTTTCACTCAGTTAGGAGCTTATTTTTTTTTTCCTTCTAGTTGGTTATGATAGCTCATAAAACAGCAATGCTTAGCTAATGATCAAAATCACAATGTTCACAAAATAACTCTCTTTAGCTTATCAAAAAAATTACACAAGTTTTTCAGAGCTTCTTATGTTAACATACTCATATTAGTTTCCAGAGTAATGTCATTTCCAAGATTGTTGCTTCTTGTCTTGGCAATGGATAAGGGTCAAAAGGATATGTTCATCAGTTTGAGAGGCTTATGTTTTTTTGAGAGGCTTATGTTTCTAGGAGATGTGTCGATTTGTTTGGTTATAGAGCCATTAGAATGATCAAAAAGCAAGAAAATCGTGCTTAATCACCAATAGTTGAAAATGCGAGAAGAATTAAAAGGAGAAGAAAGATGATATTTTATGAGGAGGGGGAACCTGTTTTATGATTACCTCCCCAAGCTTTGGTGTTCTTTGTCTCAAGTTCAATTAATTCATTGGAAACTGAGAAGGGAAGCCTCATTTGCTACTTGTTAGATCTTCCCTTTAGTTGGATTTTGTGTTGCCTGCAAAATCTAGAGTTCGAGTCTGCATGGATCTCTTTGTTTGAAATGAAAGAATAGTGCCCTTTTTATGTGTTTTACTAGTTTTTTTTTGATTTAATTTGTTGATATTCTTGTTCTATAGTTCTAAGACTAATCCATAGAAAGTAGAATGTTATGATAATCCAGCTTCCCTTTGTAATAACACATAGAATGGACATAGATATGGATGAGACACGTACGCCTTGAGCACACACCAAGATTTATGTATTGAAAGTGTGGGGGCTCCAAGTAGCATGCTTGGGCTCCAAGTAACATGCTGTCGACCGGTAGTCTACTATAGATGAGGCATAGAGGAAAAGGTGATGTTGGGGGATCCTAGGTGCTAGTGTCGACTGGCATACAACAATGAGGGCCTGGTCAACTGGCAGCCCAGGGGACCTTGCCGGCCGACCGGGCTGCTAACCCGAACCTAGGAGGTACCTTGCTACCACCCTTTACTTGCCTACCTCCACTAGATGAGTCCTACACAAATACGGTTCAATCTAGGAACAAGAGTTCTAGTCTAACACTACTCCGAACTTTGAGGAGCTGGTGATGAGGTTGATTTTGTCACCACCTAGAGTTTGAGTTCCTTTGGGACACAATTTCCTCTCACTATAAATAAAAGCCTTCGAGTTTCAGGTAAGGGGATTCAATCCTAGTCCATTCACCACATATTATCTTCGATTCGCTTTATGACTTAAGCATCGAAGTCCTTTTGTCCGTCTCTGGGCATTGGTTCACTGAGTGTTCTCTTGTCTTGTAGGTTACTCAGAGTTTTTTTTACTGTTATCCCTATTTGTACGAGCTGCACAATTGGTGTCGTTTGTGGGAAACGACTAAGTTTTTCGGTAACCTAAAAGCTTTGAACCATGTCTAGTGAGAGAATCCTTGATCCAGGAACTAGCCGCACGACACTTTCACTACCCCCAATCCTTGAAGACCCCTCGAACTATGACCTTCAATTGTTTGAGGGAGCACTACTTCGTCATGGACATGAGCTCTCAAAAGAATAATCTCCTTGTCATAACCTACAAGCCCTCGTTTCAGAAGGCGGATTAGCTACCGAGGTAGAGTACCAAGAAGCAATAAGGAAGAAGACGGAGGAGTTAAAAGTCTCTTAAGCAAGGCCTCCTACGTCAGAGTGGCAAGAAATTCACCAATGGGGTTAAACGTCCAACCCCTGAGTTTACTGTCGAGATGATTGCTAGGAAGAGGCTCATTTTCTCGAAATAAGAGCCGTTCTCAAACAAAAGCTATTTGATTCATAATCGGAGTCAAAGCAAGCACTCACTACGGTGAAGTATTACCCACCGCATGTTCAGAGACCTTTATCCGAGGGAGAAACGTCTTCATCATGGGGCAAAAGTTGGTGAAACGCGTAGAGAACGTAGCCCCTGGGAACATGGAGAATGACATGGGAGTTTAACCCACTACTATAGGAAAGAACGCTAGGACGATGATTATAGAAGAAAGAAGCGTAGGCGCTCTGAACTAGCCTATGAAGTGGCCATCCGACTGCAATATAATTTCGCTGAAGATGACCTCATATATTCAGCAAAGGAGAGGACAAGGTAAACCCTTGTAAAAATCACTACTACTTTTGTTCGGTCCATATGAGTAGTCAAGCTCCAACGTATGTTCTCCTTTATCCTTCAAGTTGTATGATGGTAAGTCCGATCCCGTGCTCCACATAGGGGCTTTTACTAATAAGATGACCTTTTGGATGAGCAATGAGACATTGATGTGTAAGATGTTCTCCTCTAACTTGGGGAGATCGGCTCTTAAAGTGGTTTCATTGGATGCCAGTGAACACGATCTTCTCTTGGGAACAACTCATTAGGGAATTCATCTCTCAATTCATAGCCAATAGTTGAGAGCCGATAACGATTGACACATTTTTGGCATTATGTCAGAAACGTGGAGACACCCTCTTCGAGTATGCCACGAGGTACTTGGAAATCTATACCAACGTAGAAGAGTATGATGAGAAGACAACCGCTGTCTCTTTTTGTTTGGCCTCCCTAAGGAAAGCTAATTGAGGAAGCACCTCACCATGTGGCCACCCCATAGTATGTCACACTTACAGGAGCATATCAGAAGGTACGTGAAGGAGGAGGACGACAAGGGACCAGTTGATCGGCTATCGTCTTCTCTAAAGAAGAACCAGATAGATGAAGACAATACTTCCAACCTATCAAGGAGAGATGGGTCATCCAAGGGAACGAGAGACTCCTACCAAGGAGCCAACACTATCTTCAAGGAGCCTATCTATCAAATCAAAGATATTGAGTATTTTAGGTGGCCACCTAAGATGATAGGAGATCCATCAAAGCAGGACCAAAACCTCCATTGTGTTCTTATCACAAGAACAAAGGCCACTGGATGGAGAATTGTTGGGCACTCAAACACCACTTAGAAGAATTGGTTAAGCAAGGCCGCCACTCTTGGTACATTGATAAGGAAAAGATTNGAAAGAATAGTGCCCTTTTTATGTGTTTTACTAGTTTTTTTTTGATTTAATTTGTTGATATTCTTGTTCTATAGTTCTAAGACTAATCCATAGAAAGTAGAATGTTATGATAATCCAGCTTCCCTTTGTAATAACACATAGAATGGACATAGATATGGATGAGACACGTACGCCTTGAGCACACATCAAGATTTATGTATTGAAAGTGTGGGGGCTCCAAGTAGCATGCTTGGGCTCCAAGTAACATGCTGTCGACCGGTAGTCTACTATAGATGAGGCATAGAGGAAAAGGTGATGTTGGGGGATCCTAGGTGCTAGTGCCGACTGGCACACAGCAATAAGGGCTTNAGCTAAACTCCGTGATTGCACCTCAAGGCTACCTTGCCTAAAGCCAACCTCCGTGATTGTTCTTCTCTCTTGCATATTTTTTTTTGACTTTGTCCAGGATCCTGAGTAATGGTCGCAGATGACATTCTCCACTTGTTNGGCTGCTAACCCGAACCTAGGAGGTACCTTGCTACCACCCTTTACTTGCCTACCTCCACTAGATGAGTCCTACACAAATACGGTTCAACCTAGGAACAAGAGTTCTAGTCTAACACTACTCCGAACTTTGAGGAGCTGGTGATGAGGTTGATTTTATCACCACCTAGAGTTTGAGTTCCTTTGGGACACAATTTCCTCTCACTATAAATAAAAGCCTTCGAGTTTCAGGTAAGGGGATTCAATCCTAGTCCATTCACCACATATTATCTTCGATTCGCTTTATGACTTAAGCATCGAAGTCCTTTTGTCCGTCTCTGGGCATTGGT